TTTAGACTTGTCTTTTTGGAACCATGATTTTCTTCTCTCTCTCTTTCTTTCTTTTTTCTTTTTTTCCATGAATCACTGGAGTTGGAAATGTATGTTGGGAAAAAATGTATTTAACAATACGTTTGCTTCGTGCAACTGCATGAAGAAGTTTGTTCCCTGTGGTGTGAGCACTGATTGCTTGCTTCTTGAACTTTTTGCTCTTGTTTTCTGGGCTCTTGCTTTTAAAATGAGACTCCAAGAAGAGAATCAGGGTGTGTTGTAAAGAACATTTCAGTACCACCTGGGGTAAAACTCAAAACCCTCAGTTCAGGAAAACTGCTTGCCTTCAGCATAGCCAAGGGATTGTTCTCCTCACTGGTAGCCAATGCTCAGGTAGTTGGCCTCAAGTTCTCCCTGAAATATTCCCGAGATTTTGAGGTGTGAGCTGAAGCCCTCAATGCACCCTGACACACTGATATCTGTGACTTTAACAAGTAGCATCTTTCATTTTTGGGTCCCATTTGTGGTTTTGCTTTGTGCAAAATAAAGAGAAAAGGTTCAGCGCTGAGGGTACTTCCCACAGCAAAGCAGGGGAAAAAAAAGCCACAGAACAATAATTCAGTGGCAGTGGAATCTCTCATTTTCGTCCTGCGCTACCACTTAGCTGTGTTCGGGTTGGTGGTCTCTTACATTTCTAGAGATGACTTTTTGTGGTTTTGGGTATCCCTGGGGAGAGCGCTGTGCCCATGTGCTAACACCTGTGTGCTAATACCCCTATGCTAACCCCTGCGTTTCAGCCACCACTGCACACACATCTCTGCAGCCCCCAGAAATGTGCCGTGTTGCAGATTTCTTCCTGTTTTTCCCACAACCCATCACCCAGCAGCTGCGGAGCAGCAGGGTTTCTCAAGGTAACAAACGACTGATGGATGAGTTCCGCCCTGGACCCCCCACCTCCTGTCCCTGCTGTGTGGCTCAGCAGCGTGACCTAAATTCATCCTGGCACGAGGGGCCTCATGGGGCAGGGATGTGGTGATGTGCCGTGGCACCTTCTTGGTCCCTGGTCTGGCTGTGGCTTGTCCCACCCCGATGCCACTGGCCTCCACTTAAGGCCGCACGTGTTATTTAACCGATGCCCGCTGCAGTGCTCTGCCTTTCCGCTTTTATCTGCTCTAAAGGCTGTGTCAATAATACATTTCTGCCATTGAATATTTTATTGATGATTTGACTTTTCGCTGCTTGCAATTCCCATTTCAAGGCTGCATGATTGTTCCTAATTAAAATTTTATGCCCTGGGAGAAGCCTTCTTGCTACAGTGGAGATGATGCTGTCCTTTTCTAGGCCACTACGGAGCGGTAGGAAGGAATTACTCATTGTCATGAGATTAAAACAAAGCAAATAAATTATTTTTCCTTAAAAAAACAATCTGAAAGCCCAGTGTACGGCGCCTACTGGAGAGGGAAGATGTGGCCAGCGGGCAAGGCAGCGCTCCAGCACACAGCAGGGCTGGAGGATGCTGTGCTGGGGCCAGCGGGGAGCCACGTCCCCACAGCCCTGGGGCACCATTCACGGCAGGATGGTGGGAAGGGCTCCTTCCTTTCCCCAGGTGGGATGATCCTCCCTGCCAGCTCCTCGGCACCCAAAAATTGTGAGGCAGAGTGTGTAGCGTGCAGTGCCAGCATCCTTTCTGTTGTGTTTGCTGAGAGCTGCAAGGTACCTGCAGGCTCTGTCAGCACAAGGCGCTGTGTAGGAGAGGAATTCAGCCACGGGCTGAATGCCAGTTGTGTCCTTGTGCTCCTTCTGAAGCTGCTCAGCTGGGGTGCTGGGCGCCGTGTGTCTGGCAAACCCTGATTATTTTTTCTATTGCACGATGAAAGTCACTCCCATCCACCTCACAGTGTCTGCTCACAACACCAGCCATCCTCTTCCTGGGCAGGGTTTGAGGTACTAGTGCTGCACCACACTGGGATGGCTTCTCAGGCACAGGGTTTGAATTCAGGCTGCCCAGGGGCATCCTTGAGGGTCCTCTCTGACTCAGAGATCTTGTGATTCTCAAGGGCAGTGCCGCTGCAGGCGCTCAAACCACCCCTACTAGCAACTGGGTGTCTATGTGTGTTCCCCAGGGTTTGTTTTGAAATTCGTCTAGAATACTAGAAGCATTTGTGTTTCCTCCTAGCCCCTAGATTTGACAAGCAGCTTTCAAAGCGCATGCTTTGGCACCAGTTACATAGGAAAGGTGTGAATGACTGGAGGAGAAAATACAGGTTAGTTTTGCTCTGAGTGATGTACAGATGCTCTGTTTACTGTTCCTGGGTGCAGAGATCTACAACATCAGTCTCCAGGAGCCAGAGAAGAATGCTTAAAGGAGGCACATGTGCATGTCCCTATGTCTGTGTACTGGGTGGTATCTGCTCTCACTATTACAGTTTTCATTTTTATGTCTCAAAGTGAAGACAGAGGATGTTCTACCTTGTGCTGGAAAAAAAAAAAAGCACTAGAGGAGGTCGGGAGATATTCTTGTTTATGGATGAGCTGCTTTCTTTCCCAATGGAACCTCCTGCCAGCAGAAATTTTTTTTTAAGATGTATTATATAAGTCCCTGCTTACATTTAACTGACTGACTTCCTCTTACTCTTAAACAATTTATGTACTCCTTCTATTCCTGACAGGCCTACTTGCTCCTTGGTGAGGCTCGCTCGCAGCTTTAGGATTTGCCACTGGCACGTTACTGACAGAACATGATATGCTCTTCCCAGCGTGGTGCACGACAGGTTCCACCTGCTCCCTCTGCAAAGTGTTAAAATAGAAGAATAATATCTCTGAGGTGCACAGAGAGTCAAAACAAAGGCCCAAGTTTCAGCATTCCCCCCCCCCCCCCCCCATAAGGCACACCTCTGCCTCTCCCCAGAATCTTATAGCATCCATTCTCAGTGAGACCGTTAAAGCTTTGAGCTCCTGGATACTCTGGTTACCAGGCTAAGTATCACCTTACAAATCTGGTTATCAGCTACTGAAAAAAACTGAATGCTTAAATGAAGGGGCAGTCTTAGACCTACTGTATTTTCTCATTGCTCAGGAACGCTCATTGGAGCTGCCCCAGCTGCACAGGTTTTGTATTTAGAAAGGGCTGCTGGACTAGGACAGGCAGAGAAGGCATTGCTATGGAAGTGGTGGGGAGTTGGGCTTGAGGGATAGCCAGGTCCCAACGACACCGCCCACTCTCCTTTTCAAGTCTACCTTCTCTTGCTTGAGAGGCAAAATGAGACATGGGAGGCACTCAGCATGCAGCACACATCAGCCACGCCTGAGCAGGCACAGCTTCCTCTTACCGAAGGCCACCTTAAGGACCTGCTCCACAATCTGTCAAGCCCCGAGTTAGAGTGATGAGCATCCAGACACTGGTTTAGCACCATTTATTGAAGACTACAGGTGACGGCACAGTAGGTTAGTTTTGAATCGTGCCAAAAGAACGTTAAAAACAGGAATTCAGTGATACGTTTCCCCCACTTACTGGAGGGAAGCACAAAAAAAAAAAAAAAGGAAACACAAACAAACTTCATTCAGTCCCTTGCCTTTGCTTACTGGAGCTGAACAGGATGGTCTTGGAGGTAGAGGGAAGTCACAAGTTTTCATACCAAGTGCTACGTGATGGGAAGCAGGACCAACCTTGTCAGAGTGACCTGCAGAGCCATTTCTGCCAGTGGGATCCTAGCAGCGAGGCACCAAGCTACAGAATAAGTGCAAAAGCAGCTTTGGTAAATTCAGGCAGCTTCCTGGTGTGCAGGAGCAATCCTGACTCACTTGCTCTGCACGAGGCATGCAAAGCACCGATTTTCCTTCCTGATGAGCAGATAGCTCCTCTGGGACCTGGCAAGAGAAGCGTCAAAGGAGTACAGGCAGGAAAGATGGGGACAGGCAGCACTTCTGTGTGGGAGACTTGGTCTGCAAGAAGGATGTTATGCTGCTTTTCTGTACTGCTAAGTGCTTACTGACAGCATTGCTGCAACAGCCCAGGGTTACATGCAAGCAACACAGACAACAGAGACTACTCAAGCCCTTCTGGAAACCTCAGAGGGCACTGTCTGCTTGCAATTAGTTTAAGCAGGAGATGAAGCCATGCCATAACCTAACGAGACACTTTCCAACCACCCGGCTTCTTTATGGCTTCAAAATCGAAAGGGAGAACTTTGCTCGAGCAGCAATTTGCCTCGTCACTTCCTCCACTCCCACTGACATCTGTGCTGCCCGGTGAGCAGCCCCTGTATGTGTTTCTCAGCTGTGTGACACCACGGTGACAGAGGGACGGGCAGCCCCGTGGGTGGGAGCAGGAAAGAGCAAGCAAAGGTGCGGGGTGGGATGGGAAACAAAGAGCAAAGAAGGAAAGCAAAGCTCGTTGCTGCTTCTCATTTAACAGATTACAGAGTCTCTCTTTAAAGGTGACTCATCCAGGGCAATACCAGGCATGGTTTCTTCTATTAACACACCCTTGGCAATAGCAGTTCAGTTAGTCACTGACTGGGTATCAAGACGTCACCAGCTGGGATAAAGCATCCCTTTAACTTGGTACGGCGTCCGTAAGCATTTACTGACTTCGGAGACGAACCGGGACAGAAAGAGGAGATCCGTTCCTCCTTGGCCCGCTGCCGCCCGCGCCATGCGGCTCTGCCCTGCCAGCATCCCACCTCTCGCTCACGGGGCGATGGCAAGCCAGCAGACGGATGGATGGCCGGACAGACGGACGGGGCGGGGGTTCCTCGGCGTGTCGCTGCACCTCGTGTCCCGCTCGGGGCGAGAGGCGTCATGCGGGCGAGGCGACGTGAGGCGGCCGCACAGCGATGTCCGAGGAGCAGGTTAGCCGCTGTCACACGCACAGTGGAGTCGCCGAGAGCACAATGTGCGTTAGTCAGTGGCTCACCTGCTCCTGGAGGGTGACGGGGCGGCGGGGCCCACCTGCGGCACGGAGACATCGCTCAGCGCGGAGCGAGGGGCGAGACGCGACGCCGCCCGGGCTCGGCAGCGGGTCACCTCCCGGGGTCGGCCCGCTCTCGCGGGGTGCGGCTCTCCCTGCGCCCTCCCCGCCGGCCCGGCCTCGTCCCGTCCCGTCCCGTCCCGTCCCGTCGCTCACCTGCGCCCCGCGGCCGCGCAGCTCCGCGCTCCCCCCGGCCGCCGTCGCCGCCGCCAACTTCTCCTTCTGCCCCGGCCCGGCCCACGCCGCGCGCCGCGGCCCCTCGCCCCGCCCCTCTCGGCGCCCGCCAATCGCCGCTCCGCCCGCCCGCCCGTCGGCCACGCCCCCGCCCCGCGCCGCCCAATGGCGAGCCAGGCCCCGCCTCCCGGTGCTGTCCCCCCCCCGCCACCCCCCTCTCGGCGGTGACAGCGGCGGGCGCGGCGCGTTCGCTTCTGCACGTCCGTGCTGCGGGGAGGAACCATTTGTACCTGTTGAACCGCCCGCCCCGCTCACCCCGCCCCGCCGGGCCCCGCTTCCCCTTTCCCTCACCGCCTCGCCTCACGCCGGCCCCGCGGCGGCCCCTCCTCAGCCCGCGGGGAGCCCCCTTCTCCCCCTTCCCGGCTGCCCCCCCCCCCTCCCTACCCCTCCGGCCCCCGCCCGCCCCCTCCCGGCCCATGGTACGCTCCGCGGGGCCGGGCCATCAGGGCAGTGTCGGGGCGCACGTAGGCGGTGCGCGGGGGGTGGGGGGAAACCGTTGGCCACACGCTCTGCCCGCCCCCCCCCTCCCTAAGGAGGGGCAGGTAAGGGCTCTCTGTGCCATCCTCAACCCAACAACGCTTGAACCTACTCTGTGCATCCATCGCCAGCCCAGCATACCGGGCGTGTTTCCCCGAACGTGTCCAATGGGTTTCCAAAGAAGACCTCACACACAAGGGCAGCAACGCGTTGCTCCATATAATAGCCTTCATTCTGAGAATCGGCACCTCGATGAATTTGCGGAGCAGGAGGAGGTGCTTTACGGATGGGCATGCTGCTGTCCTCTTAAAGATGGGCTGTGAGCCTTCATCTGTGCCACGGCCACAGCCTTCTTTCAACGGCAGGAATAGGGGGGACATGGGCATGTGAGACCTCAGGAGGCTGGAAAGCATGCAGCTGGGAGGTAGGGCTGAGGCTCTGTGCCACGCTGGTCCCTGTCCCTGCAGCATGCCAGCTGTGTTGGTAAGCTTGTGGCCTGCCCATACTGCTGAGGCTGACATCCAACAGCAGCAGGACCACGTTAAACACGTGCACATGCTATTCAGCAAAGGGCACCAGCTCTACATCCCTTTCAGAAACTTCTTTGACAGCAGCTTCCACAGGCTGGGGGTGTTCTATTCCCCCAGCACCTCCCCAGGTCCCAGTGCAATGCCTTGCACAGCAGCCTGCCCACTGCACATCCCCACTCCAGGGTTGATCAGTCACTTGTGAGATGCAAAAGCAAAGCCTCACTCTCCAGTAGCTGCTGACAGAAGATTGCTGGCTGCAGTCCTATACCCAGCTTCCCCACATTTTTGCTGGTGCACCACAAGTCGCTCTGCTCTCCAATACATTGCCAGTGGGGGAGGACAGGGGGACAGCCCCTCTCCTGCGTGACAGCCTGCAGAATGACAGCCTCTGTTGTGTTGTGTGTGCGTTATGTGGGGGTTTTGTTTCCACCCAGCAGCTGGAGGGAATAAGTCACGTACTTGACGTCTCTCTGAAACAGGGCTTGCACCCGGGCAAAGCAGCGCTCCCCAGGAGTGTTTGCAGTGATGCTCACACAGCTGTCTGCAGTCAAGCCTTGTGTGCTGCTCAGACCTCCCAGTGCCGTGTCAAATCACCCCGCGTGGAGCAAGGCCTGGAGCTGTGCCAGCAGCTGCAGCCGGCTTCAGCGTAGCCCTGTAGAAAGCAGGATGGGCGCTGACTGGAATGCTGCCATGCTTTGTGTGTGTGTGTGATCCATGAGGCAGCCTGGACTCAGAGCATGGTCTGCTGCTGACATTGCCCCTGCAAGCCTCCAGGCCCTGGGGCTCTCCAGAATTGGTGGCAGTGCTGCTCGCTCTGAGCCCCACTCCCCCCTCCAGCTTCAAACAACACCATTCAGCTGGTGGCTCAGCTCTTAATCTCTGGGATGAAATTTCCTGCTGACATCAATGGTGCTGCTGGGCAGGCTGCTGGAAGAGCCCCTGCTCATCCTGTCTGGGAAGCTCTTCCCTTTGTTCCCAGCCAGCTTCTAGCTCCAGTTGATGCACAGCGTCACCAAAAAGAGGATGCCAGCTGCATTGGGTTTTATGCCCTTTATAATGGGGTGAGGTGTCCCTTTCTCCTCCACTGAGGGTGCTCAGGGGGCAGTGAAGAAAGCGAGTCCTGAGCAGGCAGTGTTGGCACAGGTTTTGCTCTGGAAAATAAGGAAAAGAATGAAAAGGCCCTCGTTTTCTGCCCCAACACTCTGTCTGCTAACAATGCCCCGAGTGTTCTTGAAGGAGCACACACTGCTTGCAGACATCTGAGACTGGAGCAGAGCACGATGCCTGGTGGAACAGCGCTGCACGAGGGGAAAGCCGGGGAAAGCTGTCCTGTACGTGCGTGCAATCACCCGGAGGAATGGGAACATTTGGGCTGGGAGCAGCCAGTTAGAAGAAGGGGAAAAAAAAGCAGTCTTAAAGAGGTATTTAACGTGCTGTGTCCTCGCATGCCACGCAGGGCACGTGCCTGCCTTTGGGTTCGGCTCTGCCTCCGGCCCTCCGAGGCAGACACGCCCGTGTGTCTCCGGGCTCGATGACATCCATGGTCCCAGCGCTTCGGACAGCCGGCAGAAGGGACGCGGGAACGGGGACAGCCACCACCCCGGAGCCCGTGGGGCAGCGGGAACGGCACCAAGGCTGTGGGGCACAAAGAAAGCAGGGATGGATGTGGGGAGCACCTCACCCCGCTCCCTCAGTCGTTCTTAACCTGCGCTTTCCGCACTCCCCGCGCTGCCCGGGCAGTCGCAGATCCCCCCGAGGGCGCTCCGCACCGCCCCCCGCAGTTCCGCAGCGGCACAGCCGCCGCCCCGCTCCTCGTGACGGTTCGTTCTCCCCCCGGGCGGCGCGTGGTTCGCCCCGCCGCCTCCCTCCTTCCTCCCCCGGCGCCGCGCAGTGGTTAAGTCCCACGGCCGGCCCCGCTGGCGGTGTGACCCGGAAGTGTTCCCGCGGCACTTCCGGCGCGCCGTCCGCTGCGCGGCCCGGCCTGGTGATGTGAGCGCGGTTCGGCGCCGGAGCCTTCTCCTTGCGTGAGTGCCGGGACTGGGGCCCGTCGGCGGCGGGCGGGTCGGGGGGGATCCCCCGCAGATCCGAGAGCCGGTCGTGGGACGGGGGGCGGCCGCCGCGTTCTCCGGGCGCTCGGAATCGACCCGAGCAGCCGCGGCCCGGCCCGGCCCGGCCCTCTTGCCTCAGCGGGCGTCGGCAACTCGGCCTGCGGCGGGCGCTTCCGCGCTCGGAGCCGTGAGACCGCTGTCATTCGGGAGCGGGAGCCGGGAGTTCCCGCTGTGACCGCCTGCGGGTGGGTTTCCTCCTTGGAGGCCGGCAGGTCTTTGTTAGGGCTGCACAAAAAGCTCGTGGGTATGCATTTCTTTTCCTTTCCGTGCTCACGAACAGCGGGGGAAGCTGTCGTTACGCTTTCTGGGCGCGATGTGAAAAACATACGGAAGGAGAGCTCTCGTTGTGTTAGACGTGCAGTACCGGGCAGCGTGGGTTCCCAGCTGCACACGAAGCCGGTGGGCTCACTGCTGGGACAGGAATGGCGCTGAGCGTGCTGCTCCCACACCGAGCTTCTGCACACTCGATGCCAGAAGTGCCTCTGCAAAGGCTGTGCGTTGCTTTGTTTGCGTTACAGAGAGCCTCGACAGTGAGCTGCAGGGCTTTGATGGACTACTGGTGTGGGATTTGGGTTTCCTCAATTTGGAACAAAGCCAACGGAGAGCTCCTCATTTCCACACCTGTCCCAGGATAGTTTTTTTCTGTGCCTCATCTGTGGTGCTTTTAGTGGCTTAAATGATTTGAATCATCACATAGGTGGTTCTGATAACGGTATTTGAGTTAATCTGTATGGAACTTAAATGGGGAAATGTCCAATCTAAATGTAGATGTAGAGGGCTTTTCTAAGGCTCCACATGCACATTACATTGTCGCTCTGCAGGAGGAGTCTCTTAATCTGAATTATTCCCCACTTAATTCCTCTGACTTCTACATTTAGAGTGCCAGGTGCACCATGGACAGATTTTTTCCAACTTTGTCTGGGAGTGATTTTTGCAGCTCTGTTTTTGTAAACGTAATGTAACATGAATAGAAGGCCCTTGGCTTTACATCCAAATATGTGATGGTCAGTTTGAGGAAGAAAAGGATGTTTGCCATAGTGATGCTCCTGGTGGCTGGGAAACTTCACTTATCACCTGGTTGGATTAAAATCCCAATTTGTAGCCATGCACAAGGATCTCAGTTCAGTAAACATTTACCAAACAAGTGCTTGTTTGGTAAACGTGTGTTCATGTCAATGTTTTAATGTTTTATTAATGTACTTTGAGGCTCTGTTAAATGGGAATTTAAGAACAGGGAGTGCTGGGAGGGTGCACAGCATCTGCCTTTAGCAGCATCTTTCTCTGGTGTGCAACCTGCAATTTAAGGGCCGTGTTTGCTGCGTGCAGCCTGCAGATGTGTGCGTGGTGTCTGTGGGACTGCAGCAGGCTTTACTGAAAGCAGTGATGCTGGGCATTTGTGAGACTGAATCCTGGGCAGAAGGTTTTCAGCCTGTTCACCTTGCACCTGATGTTCACAAGCTGCATGCTGGCAGCACATCCCACTTTGCTCCTGTTTGCAAGGAGCCTTCAGAAGGAGTTGCAGAGAGAGGATCTATGGATGTGAGAGGCTCAGCTTCCTCAGGGCTTTGGACAGAGTAAGGCATGCTGAGGGCTTTGCCAGTGGGGTGTTGAGGGCATCCGGTACTCCAAAGCTGAAGGCAGCTGTTGTTGCTTCCGTCAAATGGTTTCAGGGAGAGCTGCTTGACTTGCTCTGTCTGTGTTACCCACTAGCATGGCATTTGGGAGGCTGTTACATAATCAACTTTCTATTTGAATAATTCATATGCACACGCTGCTGAAACATAAAAATTCCTGGTGGAGACTGGTGTTCTGTTGTTGGTTTTTTGTGTGTTACATCACGGAGGGACTGGGTTTTGATGAATCTGTGTGTTTTCAACCAGCATAAGTCGTTTTTCAATGCTCATGTTAACAGCCACAAATTTAGCTAGAAGTTCAGTTGTCTCTTTAAGCAAGAATCTCACCTCAAGTTAGGATATGTCCTGACCAAGAACCTGGTTGAATTGAAGCTTGATTTTTATTTTATTTTATTTTTTTTTTAAGCTCCCTGAGCATTAAAGACTCAATTATAACTCAGTCTGGTTCAGTGAAAGCTGCATTCTGAAGGCTCTGAAAAGCAGTTGTGCTACGTGGCTGAAAAAGGGAGTGGATGAGTGAAGATCTGCATCAAGAGCACTTGAATAAAACTTACTGTTTTGTTTCAAAAAATATTTCAATATGCAAGCTATGTAATGCAGAGCAGAGAGAGTGGGAGAAGAACACTTGATTGGATTCTTGTGCAAACTTAGCAAAGAAGTTTCAGCGTC